TTTATGTGATCTTCCCTTCTATGTGATTGTGATCTAATCTCTTCTTATTGGGATGATAAGTAATGTTAGGACCCATACTAGTGACATCACTGTAATTAATTACTTCTTTAAAGAGTCTGTCTGCATACATAGCCACTTTCTGAGGTCCGGGGGCAGGGGGGTGTTAAGACTTCCACATATGAAGTAGGTTTCTCTGTGTCTTTATGTGATCTTCCCTTCTATGTGATTGTGATCTAATCTCTTCTTATTGGGATGATAAGTAATGTTAGGACCCATTATAGTGACATCACTGTAATTAATTACTTCTTTAAAGAGTCTGTCTGCATACATAGCCACTTTCTGAGGTCCGGGGGCAGGGGGGTGTTAAGACTTCCACATATGAAGTCGGTTGTGTGTGTGTGTGTGTGTGTGTGTGTGTGTGTGTGTGTGGTGTCTGGGGATAAACAGTTGAGCCTATTACAAGGAAGGAAGGTGGTCTTTCAGAAATGGAAAACAAATGAATACTGGATGAGTCCAGGATATGGGAAGACATTTGCATGTGACAGTTTCAGGTAAGAAAAAGTGCCTTTAAAGAAAATACAACAAGGTAAGGTGATTTAGAGACTAGATGGGGTAAGCAGCATAGGCAAGGGTGGTTGCGGAGGCCTCTGTGAAAAGGGAGCATTTCAGCCCCCAACAAAAAAATCAGAGTCAAGAACTGTGGAATAGGATGCTGTTATTTATCATGTATAGATTGTTATTGTTGTTGTTGTTTTGTACTAGGATCAAACTCAGGACCTTGTGCTTGGGAGGCAGGTGCAGAGCCTAAATATCCAGCCCTCATGTCTATATTTTTTAATGGAAAAATAAAAAGAGAAAACTTACTTATTTTGGTGGAGGAAAAAGTAGAAAGGATTGGGCTAGAAGATAGATTTCTCTGAATAAACTTTATTTTGTGGATTTGACTTTGGAACTAAAGTAAACTGTTTACTTAATTATTTAAAATTTAAATTATAATGAATTTCTAAAAATTTTGGCAAAATAAAGTTAAGCTATCCTGATTATAGTTTGAGGAATGATCACATGAAGAGGAACTATTTCAAGTGACTTTAAAAGAGCAGGTTGAACTGGGCATGGTAGGGCAAGCCTGTAATCCCAGCACTTGGGAGGCTGAGGCAGGAGGATCACTGTGAGTTCGAGACCAGCTTGGGCTATATAGTGAGTTCCAGGTAAGCCTCAACTACATAGTGAGACCCTGTCTCAAAATAACCAAAAAAAAAAAAAAATAGCAGGTTGACTGTATATTTATAAAAGTATAGACTTGAGGACAAAAAGAATTATGTAAAGAGCTAAATGTAGTGGTGTAGCCTGTAATCTGGGAGGTGGAGGTGGAGGCTCACAAGTTCAAACTCAACTTGGGCAATTTAGAATTTATCAAGACCCCCATCTCAAAATAAAAATGAAAAAGGGCTCAAGATGTAGCTCAGTGTAAAGGCCCTGGATTCAAGTCACAGTGCTAGAAAGAAACAAGAACAGCAATGAAAGAAGCAACTGTTTTTAGTAAATTTTTTTTTTACATCAGTGTTGGCATTGTTATTTAGAAAATTTTTTTAAATGCATGATTTTTGCTGAGAGGATTTTCAGAATTAGAAAAAGGATAGCAGATACAGCTTGATTAAGTTATGGTAAAAACCAAAAAGCCAAAAACTGTACTTATGAATTGAATTGGAAGAGTCAACTTAAAGTCATGTAGTGCTTTATCTTTTTTAAAAACTAAATAAGTGTATTTGCTAGCTCTGTCCATAAAAGTCAAGAAACAATGACCTAACCACCAACCATCCCAGTGAGCACTTTAGAATAGGGATTTTTTTTTTTTTTTTTTT